TTGTATGATCTGGGAGATTGGGGGGGGGGGGGGTCTGTTGGCTAGAAACTTACCCAACGACTCCCTCCTCCTGATGGTCACCTTTGTGTGTGACTGTATAAAGCTGTCTGTAGACCCTCGGTTACAAAACACCAAGTGTCATTACGTACGGAGGTTCTACCTGTCCCTGGTGTTGCGGAAGATAAGACTGGCCTCACTGCCACAGAACACACCACGTAGTTGGACTGTTCCATGTCACCAGTCCTTCATGGAGAAATTTGCAAAGAGAAACACCTTTGACTACAAGTCCATCAGGAAGTGGTCAGCACATTAGCATCCATGACACCCTGAGGGAAAAGGAGAAGGTGGATCCTGTCACGTGGTTCCCTGAACAGACTGTCAAAGTCATTTGGCAGAATCCATCATCACCAGAACTTTCTATCAAACACCAAGACATCGCTTGGTTGGTGATGAGAAGGTCACTATCTGTGAGATCCTTTATGTATGCTTGGTCAGTATGTGCCATTACACGCTGCCCTCGAAGCAGCTGCTGGGGGGAAGTGGGATCTGGAGGCTGTCACACAACACCTATTGGAATGTGCTTTTGCAAAGGAAGTCTGGAGAAAGATGTAGTTTTTTTTTGTTGAGGTGCATCCTGAGCTGTTCTGTGATGTGGGACTCTGTGCTCTACAGTCTGCTCCCCAGGCCACACACTGAGACAAACACTGACTGTGCCTAGAGGACCATCAATTCAGTGAAAGATGCTCTTTGGTCTGCCTGCAACTTGGTCTTTCAGAACAAGGAATGTTGCAGACCAGCACATTCCAAGGTCCAGGACTACGTTCTGAGGGACACACTAAAGCTTGGAGCCTGCTGCCAAGATGTAGTGGGGAAAGACCACCAAATAAGGTCTTCCTGCTGAAGGTAAATGGGGCTCTGTTAAGTGAACACACCCCTCTGATACCCCAGATGTATGTAAATATGGTCTTAACTAAGAGATGTCTTTGGTTTGTTTCCTTGACATGCTACTGTACAGAACTGAACTGTGTCTGTGACTGTAATTTAAAGACTTTATGAATGAAGTATATTTTTGAATTAAAAATTCGTCTCAGATTTCTCGCCACAGATGCTGCCAGACCTGCTGAGTTTCTCCAGCACTTTCTAGTTTGATTTCAGCAAAGCGGAAGGGTATTGAGGCCTCATTCGGTGCCTCGAGCTCCGCTTTTTCCTAGATAGATGGGCCCAGTGGCGCATTATCTCCAAATTCGGCCCGGGATCAAGTTTAGGCTCGACTGCCTGTATTTGCAACTAGGCTACCTGTAGGCGGCCCGCGTCCAGGCTTCGACTCTCGCCAGGCCCGAAGGCCACATTTCTCGCTGTCGCTTCCCCAGCACAGGATTAGCCACCGGGCGCTGCTCCTGCCGCCTGAACACAGAGAAAGTCTCGGTTCCAAAACCGAGTTTAAAAGGAACGGCAAAGCAGAACTTTCACCGAATTACTCACTCACCGAGTCTCCGTCTCCGTCTCCGTCCTCCTCCAGCTCGAGCGGCGTCCGCTGAAAACACGGGTCAAAGGTCACAGGCCCAACGCCCTCTCTCCCTCCGCACAGCCGCTGCTGTATATTTTAATTTTTAGATTTCTCGATGGTAATAAACGCTGGGCCGAGCCAGCGACACCCACATCCTCCAAATCGAGAAAAAAAATTGCAGCGTCAGTAGCCGGATTGGCAAGTTTTTATAGAAGCCAGGACCCAAATCTGGATAGTTCCGGGGTGAGGGAACGGTTTAGACAGATATGGGCCAATTGCAGGCAAATGGGACTTTTTCAGTTTAGGAAACCTGGTCACATGGATGAGTTGGGCTAAGGGGTCTGTTTTGGTGCACTATGACTCAAGAGACACTACCACTGCACCATTCCATTTTAATAGGGTTAGTTGAAAGAGGGACTGAAGGTAGATTCATGTGGATCTGAAATGCTATTATAGATGTGAGAGACCAAATGGTCTGTTTCTGTGCTGCAAATTTTGTCGTTGACTCTTCCATTCTGAGATAGCTAACCAATATATTATAAAATAATTATCACTGCAATTAAACAGTTGAGAGTTTATGAATCAAAATCAGAACTGAGGGGCTCTTCAGGTGCAGTGACAGTGTCCCTACCTCTGACACAGGAGGCCCGGGTTCAAATTCCACCTGCTCCAGAGGTGTGTCATAACATCTCTGAACATGATCAGAAAATATCTCAAAAGCAGAACTGTGAAGAAAGGTCACGGGACTCAGAACATTAACTGATTTCTCTCTACAGATGCTGCCAAACTTGCTGAGTTTCTCCAGCAATTTGTTTTAGATTTCCAGCATCCACAGTTCTTTGTTTTATATTAATTAAGAGATTATAACTGGTGGCTTGAAACATAACATAAAGAAAAATGATTTTTCTTTATCTTCAATGATGTCAAAGCAAACTACTAAATTCAATCATCCCAAACCGGTTTCATGATGCTGAAAAATAAGATATTTTTATGATCAGTCGTGGAAAAGTACATTTTAAATGCTTTTAACTCAACTCATAGCCCATGCTAATGTTCAAAAATGCTTCTAAGTAATTTTCCTATTTGTCAAAGTATGTCATCAGTCATGATTCAAAGAGTTCCTCTGGGCTACTGCCAACGACAAACTGGTCCAGCTTCAGACAAATTCATCAGGAGATCATCAGGGTTTGATGAACAGACATCCCTGAAGGTTGGAAATGCTGCACAGATTGAGGGCTTTAAATGAATTAGTTCAGTGGGAAGAAATAGACTCCATATTGTGACAGTTAATGGTACAGCAGTCAGTATGGTTAGTGCTCATGTCAGATTCTTAGAAGTTACTCTAAACAAGGAAGACAGAAGTAACAATGATCTTGAAGATCAATAGGAGAATCAACTCACCTCAAAGCTGCCTTTCTGAATGGGATTCAATTTGAAGTTGTTGCGAAGTTGGGTCGAGTACTTGTGGATTGGAAGGGAGGACGTTAGTATTTAATCTTTGTAAAATGATGGGGGTGGGGAGAGTGTGTGGTCTCTTTAAAAGATGTTGTGCTTTTTCTAGGCTTGGAGATTTGAAAAAAGTCTGCAGGCAGCAGCTTGTGGGTTTGCAGGTGCACAGAGAGCCCTTGAATTGAAACATTTGTATCAAAAAGCTGTGTGGTTAGCAATCCAGGCAGCAGTTTTGTTTTAGAGATAGTAGGAACTGCCGATGCTGGAGAATCTGAGATAACAAGGTGTAGAGCTGGATGAACACAGCAGGCCAAGCAGCATCAGAGGAGCAGGTCAAGACAACAAGTTTGAAGTTAGACAATTAATTTAAACAGGCACTTAGATACAGAAAAACAATTTAATTTAAATCTGATGGTTTTGTCAGCATAGGACCAACCCTGTTGTAAGAAATTGGGTATATCAAGGGTATAAAAGACAGGGACAGTTGCAAAATCAGCAGAGAACCAACTGCCATCTGATAAGAGATCAGCTCTCTCAGCTCTTAGAGAAAGCATCATCTAATAAAGGTACCGCAACACTCTTAGCTAATATTCCTGACACAAGAATTTGAAGGAGAAGGCATTCCTGACCAAAGATCAATGGAGAAGGCACAGAACATTCCGGAAGATGTACCCTGGCTGTAATTTCGAGGGACGAAGTTCTATTCTTTTTTATTTTAGTTTATATAAGTGGGACTTGTATTTATTGGAACAGCATACCATTAGAATTTTGTTTTA